TATAATTGTTTTGGTGGTTAAGAATATCCTTATAATTCTCATTCTTCTCAGTTTTTATCCTGTGTATTTTTTAAGCTTTGAAACAATACTTAATGACATGCAAATGTAAATTAAGTAGAAAAAAGCTGGTTTTAAACAGTGTGGCACAGCCTAAGATCTCAGTGTTGTCAGGAATTGTCAGTAGTCCTTGGAAGCAGGTTTATTTCCTGTTCTAGAACTTAGGCCCCGGTGTCCCTCGGGTCTGAGGTGAATAGAAGAGGATGAGGAGCAGGCACTGGTTGCCCCACTGGAACTTGATTTAGCTGTCATGTGATTCAGGCCATCACACAGTGGTGTACAGACAGGGCCCTGGTGTCACTCACTTCGACTCAGATGGAAGCTTTCTCTATACCCTCACGCAAGGGCTTCTGCTAGAGTCATCTGCCTTATTTCACATCATTATCCAAAAACAGAAAATCATTTGATTCTAGGACAGGAAGGACTTACATGTTGTCTATCCTAAATCTAACCCCTTTCTTTTATAATAATAAAATTAAGACTTACTGACATTTTAAACTGTTTACTGTCAACCCACTGGGACTCAGATAAACCAAGTCTGTCTTGGAATCTACCTTAGATGACACTATAAAGCCTTCAGTTTAAATGTCACATATGCACATTCCATACCTGCTGAAATTATGGAGTAGGAAAGACTTCTGTACATCAAATTATACCTCTCCAAATCTTTCATGTTGAAATAAAGGTCTTTTTTCAGTTTCTGTTTTTGGTTCACTTTTTGCTGTCAATATCTAAGATAGAGTATAATAAAGGTTTCAAAAACAAATTATGGAGAGATTCAGTAATAAACATGAATAGAACAGGAACTGAGTGAAAAACTTAATTTTGTTTTTTATAATCTTAAAATCATTTAATTTTTTTCATTTTTACGTTTTTTCTAATTTTATAAACAATACTCAAATACATTTCCATTGTAACAAAGATTGGTAAAAAAACAAAACCGTCCCGTCTCATGCTTCTCATGTACCTCCCTTTGTTAGTTCACTTAATAACTAATAGAAGTTAGTCATGCACCTATTGGGCAGGTGGGGAGATAGCAGAGAATGAAGCAGTGTGCACACCTCCAAGAGGAGGACAGATAGTAAATGAATGCATAACACTGTCAGCTTTTGAGCAATTAGTACTAAAAAGAAAAACAATAGTGCATCAGATAGATGAGGCAGCCAGTGAAGGCTTCCCTGAGGAGGTGGCATCAGGTCACAGGCCTAGGGGAGGCAGAGGGGAGCCTGTGACTGTCTGCTGAAGTCATGTTTCAACCGGACGTAGCAGTGGATGTAAATGTCCCACTGTAGAAAAATGCCTTTAGGAACACCAGGGAGGCCAGTGCGGTAACACTCGCAGAGGGCAGTAATGTGGCAAGAGCCAGATCCCCTAACAAGATGGGGAGTTGTTTTAAGGGAAGCCACTGGGATTTTGAACAAGGGAATAACCAAATGGATTTATGTTTTAAATATAACCCTGGATACTTTATGGCGAACAAACTGGGTTGGACTGTTTGCTCTAAGCAATTGCTGCCGACTGTTTAATGTTTCTTTCCAGACATCTTTGTGTGTGTGTATATGTGTCTATAAACATACAAATGCAAATAGATATTTTAAGGGGATTTTTTTGGCATACATATATTATCCTATCATCTTAAAATTTCTTTTTTAAACTTACTATATCACATATATTTCCATATTGTTATTAATCTGTATTTTTTAATACAGTCTATATCGGGGGTCAGTGAAATTTTTCTGTAATGGGTCAGATAGTAAATATTTTAGGTTTTGTAGGCCAAGAAGCCAAATCGAGGTATGTCAGTACTTACGTAGAAAATTACATGAGTAAAAGACATTTTCACAAAATTTTTATTAACAAAACTCAAAATTGAATACAATTTTTTTAGAATACATGTCTACTAATGAAAATAGAATTCTTTCTGGGGGGCAGTAACAATAACATTTAAGTGGGGTTCAAATTGAATGTTCCCATCGCCAACACTGATTACAAATCTTTATTAATGCTGATGTGTTAATAAGATTTTATGTGTGTCACCTTTAAATGCCTTTTCACAAAGATGCATGTTCCCAATCCACAAGCAGATGACTTTCAGTGAGCATATTCATGCTTAAAAGGCATTTATGGAATTCTGTTTGGTTCCTCTCTTGGTAAGTGCCTTTCAGCATGTCCTTATGTTGCAAATTAATCACTTCTAATTGAACGTTAGGTGGAAGCTCCTTAATTATACAGTTAAATGGACTTTGAAATAGGAAATTCTTTTTGTTCTTGAATGCAGTCTGAAAAATGCTGCTGGAACTGTCATTTGAGCTCAGGGAAAATGTCCACAGCAAATTTGCGTTAGAATGGAGATCTCACATCCTGTTTTAACTTTTGACAGGGCAGGAATTATATTAAGCAGCTTAACATTACTTATTGGTGCAAATGACATCCCACCCGCCGTTTGACACTGCTAATCGTAGCTCTTCAACCAACAGAAGTTGGCTTGAATTGCCCGGTAGATGAAGCCAATTGGTCAT